AAATAAGATTCTTCTGATGGCACAGTTAGTGTTTAATGACAATTAATATTGTTAATATCTCTATTACTGTGATAACATCTTACTAATATTTATCTGAGACTTATGTTCTTTTTTATTTAAGATGTGATTTTCTAAAGGTTTCTGGTAGAGGTACATTCTCGGTGAAGTAGATTTGAACATGTATGCATAAAAAAGGCAGACCAACTTGGATTTATTCTAAACTATACTATCTAGATCTCAATGGCTAGCATTAATATGATGTTTTATTGCACATATGGTACTTGTGTTGCTCTTTGTTGATCTTTGTACACATAGTATTCTTTTTCTTTCTTTATTGTATCTTCTCATCTATTCTCTGCAGTGTGTTCCTGGTTTTACTGCTCTATCACATATGACATGACTGTTGTTTAGTTTATGTGAATTTTATGTGTCTGTTAATGATAAATGCATTTTTTTAAATGCATAAAAATTTTCATCTGCATTTCAATTATTCTTTTTTTTTTTATGCACATAGCCCTGATTGATCAATTAATTTCTTCCAATGGAGCATGATTTTTACCGTCTCTCCATAGGTACACGCTTAGGGTGCATGAAACCCTCTCAATCCGTCAAGGCACTGGGGGTATGTAGTTGTAGGGAACATCACAGTTTATGCAGGAGCCCACGATTACAGGAACAAGAGTGATGAGATTACGGCTGTAGTGTTTGAGATTAATCTTGACGACAGAGTGTGTAAGCTGCTCTGCTCTCGTCGATGACAGGGAGCATCAGTAGACAGCTGCTACTTATTGGGAAATATCTCTCCACACCATCTCCCTGACTTTCTTTTTTTTTTTTTTCTAGTGGATTTCGGGGCGATTTCATTCCCATCCCATCGATCGAAAGTCCTCTGGTTATGAGATTACTTTACCCGTTTAGACTCAAGTGCTGGTAACCCCCGACACCTTCTTCACCCAGTCAAGGTGTGAGGACACCCGCGTGAAGACAGCCGGATAGTCGCTCTGACAGGCCTCGGCGTACACGGTGGGCGTGGAGAAGAGACCCAGCACCGTGCCCCTTGTTCCGGCCTCGGAGAGGAGCGTGAGGGGAGCGCCGCCGTCGTTCTGAAAGCAGTCAATGATACCCACAACGGTAAGATCAACGACCGTATTTAAGAACCAGAAAAAGTAGGGCGGTGTAGGATAAAATTCGCGCTTAATCCGAAGTCAGTCCGCATGTATATTACTAACAACCATAGCACTTTAAAGTGTCCCCCCGACCCCCACCCCCACCCGATGACCCTGCACTACCCAGTCACTGCGGCAGGCGGCGCCCAGGCCAGGGCTGGCCGCAGGCTCCACTCAGCTGCTTGGCGGGTA